TTAATACACATATAAATACATTCATTTTGATTTGAAGATTAACCAACTAAACGCGTACAGCTAAATAGAGGATGTTTATGCAAATTCGTAATTTTATACAATTAGCAAAACTTGGACAGAAATCGGTATAATTGTTATTTTGCAAATAACTTGTGTATTCTCTGCATATTTTCCATATGCACGCATAAACATCAGCAGTCTATTTATAACGATGCAACAGAATGTTACAACGGAAACTGATAAGAATAGAAAGATGATTTTAATTAAAAATAATACTGTAACGTAATTGTTACGTTTCTGCAGGGTGTCTTGTTACTCGTAACTATGATTTTATAAAAATATTGCTTCTGATATGAGACAGTTGAATACATTGTAGTATGAAGACTTATTTTCATCTGGGAAGAAAGATTTGAAATGTGGTTACCCGTACCTCTTAAAACAGTTATAATATTCATATTTTCCTTATTCAATTAAGTTTCTCGCAAATCTGTTTTAATTTATCTCTGACAGACAAGTCTCCGTTGTTATCAACCATATTTTGACACAATGATTTTAAATTACTTTTTCTAATATGTTCTCTCAATACGTCTGAAATTTAAATATCATTTAAAAGTGAAATGTATGTCTTTCGTGATGAAGAATAAACGCAGCATAAAATACCTGAATTAACGATATTATCCAACAATGAGATAGCATTATGTAAAATTGGTATTTCCAGGTTGTTTGTGACTTCAAAAAATCTACAAAGCTTTTCTCCTATATCAGTCTCCAGCAGAAGTTTCTCGCAATCTGCTAAACAGCTTGTAGTCAATATCATTAAACTAATCAACGCTTCATTTTGCATTAAGATGTGCTGGGACATCAACATTTTAACTAAATGCGGCACTGCTCCGTGTTCTATCATCAAAAGTGAAATTTCCTTGCACCTAAAATAAAGATTTTACATAGTAATCACGATGAAATATTTACAAGAATGGCAAGAAATATTTATAACGATCAGTCGACCTGCTGTTATTAATTAACCATGCAATTAATCGATTTGCTTCACCCTGAACTCCAGGGTGCTCTTCTACGTCACACCATTCAACAGTTTTCTTCAATAAGTCGCTTTTTTTCCCTAATTCTACAGCAGCTTCACCTGTAACAACAAATTTGTTAGTTCACATGTATATGCTACAAAAGGGGTACAATACTTTTTGAAATTCAATCTTACATTGACCGTCAATAACAATCCTTAAAGTTCCCAACAATTTAAAAACCACAGGATAAGATGGAATACTTAACATTGAGTGTAAAATGTCTATTAACCCATCTTTCAATATTACAAGTTTATTATCTGGAGAAATAACGAAATTCCTCAAAGCACTGAGTAACGCGTGTTGAAATCTAATATCAGCAGTGTCCGTGTTATTATCCTGCAGAAGTTTAAGAAGACTCCTGTGAACACCTTGAGTAACCATGAGCTTGCAATGGGCATCGGTACGCGCGAAGTTGCCCATTGCTAATACCGCTGTGATTTGCAAATCTTTGTCTTCGCTGTCAAGCCACTCGACTAACTTTTTGTATACAACACCATTACTGTTGTCGTACAAGCTATTCATACTCTGATCTAAAAGGGAAGAGGAGTGTTTACCAATTCTATTCTAATAATATCTTTTTATATGCAAGTTATTGCTAATGAACCAGTTAATTATAAATCTCTTTATTAATATACCTCCAGTTAAGACGAGGATGATTAAATTGCAAGCAACTTTCAGCACCGACCTAGCTACTTCGTCTGTGCAATACGGACTATGTTTTTCCAAAAGTTTCAACAATAATTCGCAGACTCCTGCTTTCGCGAGCAACAGCTTTGCATTTTCTGTAATTTATACGTATTAGTTGGTATCAAACTTTCGCAAGGTTCTGATTAATATAAATAATAGTTAAATGACAATGAATATACCATTTTCTGCTTGGCCATGAAGGAGTTCTAAACACATTCCTGAAAGTTCTGACGACGTGTCGCTCGTCAAAATATCAACCAATATTTTTATTAATCTTTCATTTAGAAATTCTATATCAGCATCGTCCAATATCCCTAGTATTTGTAGCATATGCATTGCGGATTCTCCTCCCGCAGTACCGTCGATCTCCAACACACTGCATATAGTTGGTACAATTTCCTGTTGCAATGCCTAAGAAAGTTTTCCTACAGATTAACATATTAATTACCATGAATGCACTAGTATGTCATTTCAACTAATTGTGTCAAGTGCAACCATGTATTAATGAGTGTTCATTTTTGTGTGCCATTCGTTTCTTGTACTCAAGTAACAATATAATGCCATTTTTTATAACAACATACTAGGATGTTTGCGATAAATTAACCGTTATCAAATACTGTTGCGAACTATAAAGTCTCAAATTTATTACCTGTACGTTTACCGACGATCGGTCGATAAGAAAGTTTAACAAAAGACCCGCGACAACATTGCGAAGAAACGGTGCCCCTTCTACATTTTTCAATGTAACACTTTTCTCCAGCACTGCCAAAATCGATTTCAATCCATTTTGATCTTCAACAAATTTCTGACCATTTTCTATAAAGATATTTCAAATAAAATATATTGATAACAACCAGAAACTCTATTGCAGAGTTATAATATAAATACATATTGATTAAGAATTAATTGACCGTTTAATAAACTTTGTAACTTACAGCTCCACAAATTTGGGAAATTATAACTTACTAAATATGATTATTTAACCGACAACAAATCCAAGATGTTATGTAATAATAATAATAATGACCTTACTAACAGCTACATACATGAATAAAATTTGGATCATTAGGGATTAAAGATCCCTACCATTCTGATAACAAATATTTCCCAGAGCCCTGGAAGTTTGTGTTAAAACATCCACACGATCATCTTTCAATAAATTTATCAGCGCATTCACTATGTCTGTTGTAGTGCATTTCTCCCTACCCCTTTCACTTTTGGCAATTTCTGCAATTGCCTTGGCAGTCTTTGCAATAATTTCTTTAGACTCGTGGTACAGTAACGTTAAGAATACATCGTCCACTGCGAACTCATTAAATTCTAAAAAAAATGAATACATTCCATATTTTAATAAAATGTAACACTACAAACTGACTATCTTCAATTATTTACAAATAGAATACTGCAAAGTATTATAAAAATTGATAAATACCTCCAATAGATGTTTTACTAACATTAACAATAGAATCCAAAACTTGGATAATATCTTCAATTTCTTTCTCTGATTTTACAACGAATCGCAACTTTTCCAATAACTTTGTAATATTGTGCTTCAATTCACCTGAAATAGAAAGTTGTTTAAACGTTAGCACTGTGATAACCGTCCTTTAGAATACTTTATACAACGAATAACATTAATTGAACTGAACTTCTTGTTAACAACGCAATTTCAATGGTTTTTCCATACCTTCCATTATTCTTTTTTATTTCGATTCAAATGTTATAGAAATAAATTGTTTTTTTGAAATCAATTCTAACAAAATTCATTTAGCACCGACACAGCATCTTTAAAGGATCTTCCATAAATTGTAAATTATTAGAGGAAGAAGTTAGTCTTCTGGTATTAGACGCAAAAAATATTCCTAAAGAAACTAACCAAAATGGATAGCAGTCGAGTACAGGAAAAGGTGTGTTCCTAGAAAAATGTTAACATAACAATAAAGAAAACTTGTTTCATAAAATAAATTATCTTAAAAAATATTCTCGAATTATTCTAACAATATAATCATATTTTTAAATAATGAACGTTACGCGTCTATCTACAAACTGGTTAGTCCGTGGTCTATACAAAACCATCAAGGATGGCTGTGTTTTCGTAATTCATGCAATTTTCTTCGAATTATTTCGGAGATTCTGAAAAATTCGTAATTGTTATCACGGTTACGTGATATATTTTAATAATACACTAAACATTTCAATATAAAGCAGCAATAATGTCTAACAAAAAGACTGACAAACAAAAAGAGAATTTATACGGTAGGTGAATGTTAGAAAAATAATAATTTATCAATTAAACTGAAATTTCACGTTAATTATGACCAAACAAATTAAATTTATATAGAACATGACAAAGTACAATGATTTTATCTTATTCAAAATCTGTTTCTACTCAAGTTCCCTGAAATTTACGCATATTCCATTGTCCAAGGAAACATAAATATGTTCTAAAGTATTTTCATTCTATATTGCAGCCACAGTCTTCTTAAGTGGTATAGCTGGCGTCTCTGCACTGATTGGCTTTTCGAGTGCATTAGCATCAGCCAAGAAGCAAGACATGAAAGCTTTTGATATGGGAGTTATGGGAGGAAAGGCTTTACCAGAATCAGGAACGGCCCTTGCCATGAGAGCTCTTTTCTGGGGCTCTGTATGGGCAATCGGGGGCTGTGGACTAATCTTTTATGGTATTTGGAAGCTGAGTGGAGCTACCAATGCGCAAGAATTTCGGGTAAAAATGGGATCCATTTTGCCACGCATACCAAAGAACAATCCCCCACAAAGTAGAACGGAATTTGAGAATCTTACCGATTTACTTAGATATGTTTCCGAAGAGTGGGGCAAAGAAGAGTGATCTTACATGTAAAATAGAATAAAAAAACAGAAGGAATAGTTACCGTGAAGAATTTCTTTTCATTTATGAAGGCATTTAGATAAAACTGCAAGGAAGACAGTTTCAAAGTCTGCACACTATGCTTTTAGCGTATTACATTTCTATTAATGTTTTTGATAACAAAAATATTTGTTATAGCGCGTTCTGTAAAGATTGTAATGCAGTGCCTCGTTCTGCATTCTTGTATATAGGATGTTCATACTATTCTTAGTCAACAAGAGACATTGGATTAATAACGGCTAAGTTCACTGTACATACAATGTTGTACATATTGTACAGAGTAATAATTATGATGTTGAATATTATTTTGTAATTCGAAAGAATAAAAGAAACTATCTCTCTTATAGTCACCGAAGTAGGAGAACCTGTATTTTTCTACAAATAAATGTTTGATACTAATTATCGTATTGTTATACTCGCATAAAATATAATTCTAACACAACTCCATCGAAATATTCAATCGAAATTTGCTCGAATTGAGAAATTTATAAAAGAAATGATGAAAAAGATTCATATGAAATATTCGTACCAGTTGCCTTACGGACAGTAAATCTTGCAGCATATCGCATTAACAGTCCGACTGACCGATTTCTTATTAATTCATTTGAAAAAAAACCGTCTGACTGCGTAGCAAATTTCCTTAACGAACTTTGTTCCTGGCATTGATACCAGGTAAAAAAATGATTTTATTTTTCATTTTCAAATGCTGACAGCATTCTCAAATCAGTTATCTACGGTTAAAAAACGTCTGAATACGCAATAAATCATGAATCTCCATAAACAGAATTTCAAATTAGCAGAATTCGTAATAACCCAGGAATTTGCAACTGCGTCAGCGTGTTACGTAGTTGACGGCAAACTTGGGCAAACGAACATTGTTGAAACCGAAAAGAAAAATTTCAAAAGATAAAATAATCGTGCGAAACGACGACGAAGATTCGGCCCAACGTCTATTTTTCAAATAGTATTTTTATTAGTCCAAAATTTACGACAATTTCAGTTACAAACTTCTGAACAGAGAACAATGTCCGGCGAGGTGTGATTCCCTCGGTTATCAAAGTATCGATACGGATAATTCTAAATGGTCGACTGCGGATTCGATGCGTTCGAAACACGCGTCGTTACCGTAACGGAACGTCTCGGTGTTCTTGATCGCGAAGAGAACAAATTATTCCTGTATTTAACTCTTTTGCCACGACGGCCGACTATAGCTGCTCTCTCTTTTTCTGTCGTTTGTTAACAGTTATCGTTATCGTTCGAAGACATTGTTTTTCAAGCGATATCATTAACACGTTGACCGCCACGGTAGACACACAAGTGACTAAATGGTACCTTTGTCACTTTTGAAAAAGTAAATAAATAAATAATTGACAGAGCAGTGAACGTGTTAATGGAACTCGCCTTGCATCTTTGAAGGTCGACGAGAGTGTCACGACGGATAGGACTCTCGCAGCGAAAGAGTGAATCGTATAGTAATTACCATAATTACATATTTACTTTTGCAATCGAAGCTGTTCGTTTCTCTCCGTTCTCCGTTTGTTTGTCTCTTTTCAATCGAAACATGGGCAAAACAACGCTGAAAACCAACAACACAATGTCATAAACCATTATTATTATTTAACATACATGTCCACGTGTAGCAAAGAAAATCGTAGGTAAGCAACAAACGAAACCGTACCAACAGATCGTACAATTGTTCTCTCGTTCGACGATACACCCCTCTCTCGTAAGCACGCAAAAATAAACTCACAGAGGAAATTTCTCTTTCTCGTGGTCTCGCTTTGGTTACGTTCGGCGGTGTCTCTGCGCGGATCCGTAGTCGCTCTAAAAATCACCGTAGTGCTGGTAAACAAATCAAAACTCGACATTCCAAACGGAAAAATGAACAATCGACAATTACAAGAGAAAGAAAACGAAAGATAAATTAAAACCTTACTATCCGTTTTTCTATCCGTCTTCTTCTCGTTTTTCTCGTCTTCTTCTTATTTGATTCAATTTAATTTGCGTTGGTTTCATGCACCCCTAATCGCGAACGGTTAATTTCTCAGGCTAAAATTTAGGCAGTACGTTAATCTGCTTCGCATTTCGTTGTTTGCTCGGTAGCGATCGCCCGCCAATTACCCGGGACACTTCGATGCATCGGAACAGAAATTGTTCATTTTATAACCTCGCGCTGTTCGCATAACCTAAAACCAAGGTTATCTCGCGCAAACGAAAAACCGACGCGACAACAATCGAATTTCCCGAAATGTTTCTCGAAAAGAAACTTACTGTTCTTCATCGACAGCATCGTCCTCTTCTTATTCTCCTCGAATGTCGCGTTTCGTTTCGAATAACAATTTCTTTCTTCCCTTACAAGATGGCGACGCTAACCTCGCTGAAAAAAAGGCGCGAACGATTTGATCGATCGTTCGATATCGTAACGATATATCGACATCGGAAGGCAGTTGATCGATCGATACAATGATCGATCGTTAGTTCGCAAAATCGCACGGGGATTTGAATTTCGAATCAAGTATTTCCAATAATCCCGCCGTTTTCGCACGGCATCGCCGGCTACCAGTAAGAACGATGGATTAGAATGATTACGATGCGAGTGCCGTGTAAATTAGTCAAAGAAAGATCGGAGGTATATCGAATTTTCTCAATTACAGTATCTTTTTCTTCTCGTTTGTTTGTTTCTGTTGTAAGAGTGTACAGAGTAAACGCGCGCTTGAAATTACCATAGTTTGCACACCTCTCGGAGAAATAAAGTGAAACCTCTGAGAAAGAAAGACATAAGCGAACTTTCTGTCGTGCTTCGTCGTAAAAGCAACGCGAATAATCGAAGGGTACAGAGGCTGAAGCGTTGCAGATATCTTGTGCGTTACATACATATTCGATGTTCTTCGATTAGATCCTCTGAACCCCCCGAATCCTGTTCCCTTCAACGAACCAGAAGAAAATCTTTCGTTCCATCTTAAGGCACACTTGCATTACCTATTCCCGTGGTAAGTTCAAGAGACCAGTGTACACTGCACACCCGTTACACGCACAACACAATTTCGTGAACATCGATTACCATTAAGATTACACAACGATCAAAGGAACACGATACAACGAGCACGAAGGTCCCAAGTGAACCGTCAACGGAACATTCCAACATCGAACCAAACAAGAACAACGTATGAAGAACAAAAGAAAAAACAAGTTACGCTTGAGTTGTTGTAAAAGAAACATTTTTGTTTATTGCAAATACTATATTACTCTTATTTGTCCCGTTCTTTAGTACGTGTCTTTGTATCATAATACCCCTTTTTTTTACAATAAATTTACAACAAGACATTATAAATTCATTGCTAGAAAAAAGAACCCCCTATAAAATCTGTAATTCTACTTCCCGTTTTAATCTAACGTTCATCATCATCATCTCTCTCTCTTTCACACACACACACGCACACGCACACGCACGCACACATTCTCTTCCTATCACTCTCTCACATCTAATGCGACATGCTTCGTTATCCTCATCCGCCAAAATGAAACACGCGCATGTCAACAGCATACGATTAACGTGATTATCAGCATTATTTAATTAAAATAAATAGACGAACTTTCACTATTACTCGATTGTTACAAGTTCAAGCGCGTCGGAGGACCACGTGCAACGTTTCTCGGACACGGCCGGAGTCGTTTCGTCTACGCGTAGGACCGACTCCGCCGTGCCTCGGCATCGCCGAAACCGGAAGTCCCTAACGAAACGGAAAAAAAACAGAAAAAAAACTCAAGAGCACAACGGCACACGATTCGAAACGCGATGCCTGCTTCTGTTCACCCGCGAACGGGGCTCGCTCAGAAAGAAAAGAATTCCGCGCGGCCGTCGCAGAACCGTCGGTAAATTAAATAATCGGAAACAACTACCTGCTAAGCAACGTTTAAATTATAAATACAAGTACGCGTACAGGTCGGCTGGCTTCTCGAACGTTTCCATCGTTAAGGATTTGTGCGAATCAGGAGGCGATCGGCGACTTTTCTCGGTGTACAAAAAATTGTTGTGTACTTTCTGTATGTATGTATGTATATGTATGCGTACGTTTTTCTCTGAGCTGCTGTG